GTAATGAGGTAATACATATGACTAAGAAAAAAAGCTAAGAATCTTCTAAGCGGTGGCTATATATTCTCTTCAAATATATATTAACAAGGAGGAGAAAGAGGAAGAATATGTTGAGGACTAGATATAGAATCTTGATATTTTTGTGCTATTATTGAACCATTTTCATTTTATTAAATACCATTATTTTTTATTTTTATAAACAATACAATAAATATTGCCTGTAAAACAAGACGACATAAAGGGATTATTTCCATGACTTATTCAAACTGGTGCCATTGTTTATGCAGTTCTCTGTTTGTATAATCCGTCATATGATAGGCCAGCCTCCTAAAATAAATACTTCAAAATTGTCATTCATTCTAATCACTCTAGAGGAAGTGGGTAAATAATCTTACATGTATTTTAGCACCGGTATATTTAGTCATATATATATATATATATATATATATATATATATATATATATATATATATATATATATATATATATATATATATATATATATGGATGGAGAGAAAGAAAAAAAAGAGAGGATAATCTACAGACAGACTGCGTCACAGCTCTTCAGTGTGGCTAGACGTCCGATTGTTTCAAGTCGGGATCGAAATCCGACCGATTTGGTATCAGTCAGACAGTCTACCCCTAGACTATGCGAAATACGTCAGTTCGGTTTAAGAGCAATATTGACCGAATCATGCAGAAACACAAATAAATAACTTTATCAAACAAAGACTACATCACTTGAAGTCTTCCAAAAGCAGTAACAACTAAAATGGATAGTACATGTAATAATGTAAGAGAAAATAATGGCATAATCAACATGTTGACGTTTCACACTAACACCCCCCCTTCGAGAATAATAGAAAGAATAATAATAGCTGGTCGACGTGAGAAATCTATTTCCTTGTAAATTGAAGGAAAAGATTTCATAAATTTTAACCCGTATTAATGCTAATGCTGAACGTTTCATGTATGTTACTATTATTAATATTATTAATTGAGAATTCGAAACGATAAACTATTAAAGCAACAAAGTTGTGTTGTATTGTTCGAAATTAAAATTCTCTCTGCGCTGTCTTGTACGGATTCACTTTGTTGATTATTTAATTGCCACCGTGTGGCTTCATGACATCAACAAGAAAAAGATTCCAGATTTTCTACATAACAAATAAACTGAGATCTCCATACTTTCGGCCTTGTGCTACATCTAAGCTACGCTTTAAAAACACCATAACAGATAAACTGTTATTTAGAAAACCTTATGATATTAGTAATGTTCTCATGAAGATTCTGAATTTTTTTTTCTTTCTATCTTAGTTTCTTATTATCCGATTTTTCTGTAACCAAATTCGCAGGTGTCTTTGACGTTCGTCGAAATGCACCGAAATCTAAGCCTATTTTTGTACCTAGATCTATTAACTTTAGAGATCTTTTAAGAAAAGAGAACTATTTACTGAATTTTGAAGGGGTGGGGGTACTTTAGCGAATTTCCATCAGTAAATAATTGCAAATGTTGCATTTCATAGAGTATCTGTACTTATTCTTTTTTTTTTCTATTGGTTTTTCTCTGATTGATTGTATTTCCTCTGATCGATAATATTTTGAAATAGGATTACGGCGTATGCCTCCTTTCTTATTGAGTCGTTCTAGGGAATTAATTTAGCCAATGTTGGACGCAAACTTTTGTATGTGTAAGCCTCGGTAACTTCATTGTGCAGAATGAAGAATATTTCAGCGATTCGCCATTAAATAAGGAACGCTTATGTGAATTTGAGGCGAACAGATACTGTGAATAGTTGACGCGAAAGTGGAAGTTAACACGGTTGGCTTTCATTTGGTGTAACCGTTCAGAAATATTCATTTCTATCGAAGTTCATTGGACAGCTACCAGTACCCGGAATACCAAGAGGTGACAGGGAAAATTACGTGTGCAAAGAGAAACGAAGCATAAAACAGAACTGAAGAAAGATGTGGGTAAAAAAAATATGGTAGAAAGAATTGCCTTCCACCCCCCCCCCCAAAAAAAAACAGAGAGAAATGCGGATAAAGAACGAAAGACAATATTTTTTAAATGAGAATTCAATATTAAGCTTAAAATAAAGAAGGGATCTTTCTGTTTATTCACCCCCAAAATATTAATTCATCCCAAAATAAAGCGAATTTATATTTACTAAAATTCGCACCAAATTATCCCAGAGCGAAGCCATGCCATTGCACTCCGGTTGGGTTGACCTTTACAATCGCCCCAAATGTGAGAGACGCGGTGCACTATTTCTAAGTGTGGGGTTTGCCCACACCAAGATAAATAAGCCAAAAAGAGATTTTTTTTTTTTTAAATTGTAAAAAATTCCTTGTAAGTAAATCAGATATATTCCGCATTTATGAAATGGGAATATCTCTTTTAGGTAATTTTTCATTCTGAGGGTTGGAGCTGTTTGTTTTGATTTGAAATTTATAATTTCAAAAGCGTACCAAAAATTTAATAAAAAGAAACAAACTTTGATTTAAAATTTATAATTTCTTGGGTTGAATTCATATTTGAGATAAGTAAATTTACATTATTTGGGTTATTGGGGGAATTAACAAAAAAGATCCTAAAGAAAGACAAAAGAAAGAAATAGAAAAAATACACACTGACTTTTATTTATACAATTCCAAAATATGGACAGTTTAACCATTTTCACCTTTTATTTTTTATACTAATATTCACCCAATACAAAGCCCAAGAGCCACTGAAGTTATAGTATTACAGTGTCGATTAGCATAGTAAAGGACAAATGTTAGAAGTATAGAGCTGAAGTAGACTTTAGAAGGAACCAGAAACCCAATCCTAAACAGGAAACAATGTATAAACCTCTACTCCTGTTTAAAAGACAAGGAAGGAGAGAACCGGACGATAGGCAAACCTATCTACTCCTATTTGGTACTGTATATACTCGTGTATAAGCCGACTTCATGAAAAGTGCGACCCTTGATTTTCGCATCTATTTTAACCTCACCAGAAAAATTGTGTTTAGTGCAACCGGTCACCGAAAACGCATGGTTATTAACTTGTGTATAGTGCAACGTTCTATTTTTTTGCATAATAAATGAACATAAATCTTCGCCCTATATATACGGTAAGTAGGCGAAATCTTTCTTCTTCTTCTTTTCATCCTCCTCTTTCTTTTCCCTCTTCTTATTTTCCTTATTTTTCTTCTTCTTTTCCTCCCTCTTCTTTTCTTCTTTTTCTTCTTTTTCTCCTTCTTTCTCCTTTTACTCCCTCTTCATTCTTTTCCTTCTTTTTCTTTCTCTTCCTCCTCCTCCTCGCTCTTCTTCTTTTCCTTCTTTTCCTCCCCCTTTTTCCTCTTTTTTCTTCTTTGTCGTTTCCTTCTCTTACTCCTCCCTCTTCTTTTCCTTCTCCTCCTACTTTTTCCTCTTCTTTTCCTTCAGTCCATAGAAATCTAAGTTCATTTTATGATTTGCAGGAATGGGGCAGATATCAACTACTTTTTAACCAGTCGGTCAATGGTTTAAATCACGGCTTGTCGAAATGCGCACCAGCCGTCCATTAGGAAGCGGTATACCTCACATGGGAGGGGGGGGGCAATGTAGCAGAGATTGAAACAGGATGCAATAATGACTTTCAAATGGGCCATATGTCGCATAGAAATATCCTCGAATATAGTTATATGATAATGACTTCATATTGTGTAATATGGCACACGTATTGTTACCAGAATCTTTTAGAAGCTGACATCAACACACTAATAAAACATCATTCAACGCAGTCTTCTCATTAACAGTTAATTCTTTACATACAAAGATAGGTATAAATATAATTTATAATTATAATTCTCTATAATTATAATTATAATTCTCCACCTGCTAATATAGGAATAAATTTGACACTAATTTCTCTTTCATTATTTTTCTTTCATCAGTTCTCATACATTATTATGTAAAAAAAAACTTTTTAATCAGTTATTTTATTAGTCTTGTTTTTCAGTTCTTGAAAATATTGTTAATTTAAAAAATATGGAAATAAAAGTTAGAAATTATCTGCTATGGCTAAAAGGCTTCAGCCAAAATAAGTTTTTAAAAAAAACTGACCGTTTTTTAATGGTCGTTGCTCGTCCTTCCAGTATATTACGGAGGTATATTCAGAAAATATATTGTCAGATTGTTGATACTATTCCGAAATTTGCTTATTTTTCAAGCACCTGGCATTTCTTAATTAAGAAAAATGAACGACAACAGAAAAGTAGCTAATTAAAAAATTATTGCTTGTTTAGTTCGCTGTATTTTTTATGGCATTTAGCGGATAACAATGACAGATTTAGCAGAGCACAATTTTACATTTCTACGTTGGGAACAAGAACAGAAATATTGTATTACGCTGGTTTTTCAAGCGAGGATGGTGTGCCATGAAAATAGAATTTTGTAACTAGATTTATATTTCACTGACAAACAGTGACCAATCCCTTGACCTACAGGGAGAAACAAAATTCATGCTTTGCGAAGTACATTCATGCAAAGCGAACGCATCTGACTACAGTTGAGATTTGCAATTGGTTTGCCAACGCCACATCGCTGCAATTTCATTATTGAATTCAGTATAACGTACTATTCATAAAATGTATTCCTAACTACCGATTGAATAGGGAACTTTATAATATATAACTAAAATTGTTAATGCTATTTGAATAGTTCCATTAAATGAGACTTTAAAGTTGATTGTTTTTTTGTTCAAAGACGCATCACCCTCTATGTTTCATGTAATGCCGAAATCTAAATATTTTTACGCAATTTTTTATTTTTATTTTTGAGATAATAATGGTTTTAGTGATACAGGTCTTACTACTTAACTCATAGCTGGGGCAGAAGAAATGGATTAAGACCTTTTCCACGGATATTTACGCCTAAGCGGATAAAACGAATCAAACCACAATTGGAACTCGACTCCCTGATGTACAATTCCGAGTCATTATCTATTACACCACACACACATCCAAGATTATAATACCTGGTTTTCAGAACCGGTCACCCATCTAGGTACTGACCAGGCTCGACGTTGCTTAATTTCAGTAATCGTACGGGAACCGTTGTTTCAACGTGGTATGACCATAAACCACTAAGCTATGAGAACATGATCCCTTTACAGGTCGAACTCACCGCTCCATTCCATAATTTCCCTCAGTACCATATTTTTTGTCTTCAAACTTGTATTAGTAGCATTAGTGTTCTCTTTAAGTTATTGTTTATTAGATGAAGCATTGGTAGCCATTACTAACGAGCTAGTTGTACAAATCCTAACTTCAGAACTAAAACAAGTGGAACCATCCTTATTCTTTTTTTTTCTTCTTTTTTTAATCTTCACCGAAAGCAAGGCAGTTAAGCCACTGAGGCACAAGGGGTTACTTGGTGTTGGAGAAGTAGAAAACATTTCTAAGGATCGAGACCAAAAGAAGAGTAATCAGGAAGACAGTAGATAGCGATTGACATTGCATTTAATTTTTTGAAGATTAAAATTGACTGGAAAGCATGGAGCCGCAAGGGAGTTCCACAAGCGAGAAGTCCGAGAAAAGAAACTGTTAGCCAGTGTAGTATTGCGCTTAAATTCAAAAAAGTCTAGGTACCATAGCGAATATTTACTGCAGTGGGAAAGTAAATGAGACGCCAGATCAGGGCCAATAATATTGCTGATTCTTTTTTATCAAGAATCATCACTAAATATACTGCAGAGGCACAGGACCATATGTGGCAGCAATATTCGAGGCAAAGATGAATGATAGACTTATAAATATGTAAGATAGATTCAGGGGAGAAAAAAAAATGTCAGCAGACCTAGTAATAGATTTAATATAGTCTTTCCACTTCATGTCAGCCGAGAATGTCAGCCTGAGAAGGCGCAACATGTCACTCTTGTGGAGGTTAGCATCAGCCATGCTGATGGGAAGCAGAAATGAGTTTTTAAAGCGAATGTGCCAGAATATACCGTTTCGAAATAAAACCCGAAGATTCTAGTCAGGCAAAATTGCAATAGTAAATGAAAAAGTATCATATTACATATTATTTGCCGTTATATATATATATATATATATATTTGTGTGTGTGTGTGTGTTTGTATGTGTGTGTGTGTGTGTGTGTGGCCAGAGTTGAATTAGACCAGGAAGCAGGAGTATTAAAAAGTGCTCAATACACACATAAAAAGATAAAAATTTAACATGTAGAGCTTTTAAGTATAAAAACAATTACGAAATCATATGATTTTGCTACATTGCTTTCAGCCTTTCGATATCTTCAAGCGATTCCGGTCAGTTGATTTCCTAACGCCTTAGTTTTTAAAGAAATTTATGAATAAGCGCACGACGTGAGGTGCAGTAGAAGGTGGAGAGGGGTAAAGGCAAGTGCATTGGAATGTATCGGTGTGGGAGTAAATAAAATATACACTTTCTTTTCATCCTACTTCATATGAACTAAAAAGGAACTTTTTAGTATGCATACAACGCGTCATAATTTCCGATCTCTGATTCAAAAGTTTTTTTTTTTTTCTGGAAATGTTATTTTAACTAACTTTTCTTGTTGACAAAGTTTTCTGTTATTACTATGATTATTGTAAGTTTTTTTTCAAAATTTTCCAGTTTACATACGGATCTTTTTTTTTATTTTTCTCCTTTAATTTCCAAACATGATTGGCTAATTTTGAAGATACCGAAAAGGTTGAAACCAAGGTAGCCAAATCAGTTGATCCCCTAATTTTACACACACACATACTCATACACACACACACACACACATATATATATATATATATATATATATATATATATATATATATATATATTATACATTTATCCGTATTTACTTTTAAAAACATAGATTCAAATTCCTCCTATATTACTTCAGTAAGAATGAAGTTCCACTCGAAAACTTTCTTCTCACGAACCTCTCCTTTGCGGAATCGACTACAAAGACGAAGCTTTCTCGACCACTACAATTTTAGCCTCTTCAAATTTAGGGTTAACGGTTAACTTTCTCTCACAACCTCCTTACTTCTTACAGAACATACAACAATCTCTTTCAGTAACACTCTACCTTGAGTGGCTCGTGAGGATAAACATTAGCAATCGCTGAAGTTAGTTATCGTTGAAGTCTCAGTGACAGCATATATACACTTATATTCGGCGCTCTCCTTAGTTTGTTCGCAAACCCCGTGAATACTCGTTTCTGTGTAGTATCGTCACTTTCTTGCAATTCATCCAATCTCACTTTCAGGCGTGGTTTTCTCAACCATGCGTTATTTTCCTGATGGTAAGACTTTCTTGCCATAACTATTTACATTTTTACTTCCTCTATTGTATAAAGTCGTTGAGCCGTGTAATATCTTTAGTTTCGATTGTAATAATTCATTGACGTGTTCAGCTGCTGCTTTTACCTTTTTTCCTTCCCTTAGCAATAATATTCCATAAATAAAAATACACTGATTGTTTCTGTCTCCAACAATATCGAGTATAAAATCACTGACACAATTGTTCCTTAAACTGCTTCCCGTAAGAGATAAGCTAGCTTTTTCTTGGTAATATTTAATTCTTTGATGTATCGTATCTGTTGAATGAAAGTGGGCTAAGAATAAAGCGAATAGACGAGCCGATAGACACGGTGGGAAGAAGGAGATTTGAATGAAAGAAAAGTCATTTGTGAGCAGCGTTCAACCAATGTAATTGCATATTGACGATTTATCTGAGAATCAGAATGGTAAACCGTTAAGATGAACGAGAATTTGTATTGCCGATAAACGTCCGTTTTTCGGATTTCTTTTTGTTGCTTTCATTTCTTCTTTTTAAGAATTTAGTCGCACATTTTGTGCAGTTATCTTTTCCTGATTTAAAAAAAAATCTGCACTTTTCAAGTTTATTCTTTCTTCTTTTTTCAACCCTATTTTTTCATTACACGATACAGAAAGAGGCAGTTGAAATTTCTGCGGCATGTAATGAGGAAAGAGGGCTATCAGGAAAACCTGATACCCACGGGACAGATTAAAGGAAAGACGTACAGAGGAAAGCAGCTCAAAACGTACTTGATGAACTTGAGTAAATGGATGGTGAGTGACAGAAAGATGTAGAGGGCCTTGATCTCCTGCGCCCAGAAAGGACACAGTACATGAAAGAAGAACAACAAAGAAAGAAGAATGGGAGAATTTAATATGATAACCATTACTTCGACGTGATGTAATGGTTATCATGTTTGTCTCGCCAGATCAATTACAACTGAATAGTGAGTTCGATCCTCACTAAGTGCCGTTAATTTCGGCCTTGTGCCACATCTAAGCTGCGATTAGAAAATCACCATATGATTATGTTTGAAGTTTTTCTTTTTTTTTTTTCTTAGAGATGTAATAGCGACCCGGAAGGGGAAATCTTAAAACCGAATTCGAATTCAAATTTGGTCTTTACATACACTTTCGCATAGATACCATGAGTAAATGTATGAATCCACCCAGCTATGGGTTAAATAGCAGAACAGACTGTGCCTGATAGCTATATTTGTCATCCAGTAATTTCAGCCAACTGAAACTATACAAAGGTGGTTAAACATGGGATGCAGATACCCAGTGCATAAAACAAAAAACAAGATAGTTTTGAACAATTATTGATATCTGAATTATCCAGAATACTGTTGAACCCAGCGGCCATTAGCCCCTCAATAGAGGTCATTTATTTTTTGTTTACTTTCCTTTTTTTATAACATAATTTTCATTCCGTTTATTCTTTATTGTTTCTTTTATTCATTCCTTCTATTGTAATATTTCCTTCAATATTTCCGTTTCTTTATTTCTTTCTTTATCCGTTAATTTTTTGAGTCCTTTTTTTAAGCATCTCCATATCGTCTTTCTTTTACCTTGAGATTTTTTCTCCTTTGTTGTTTCTTTAAATCATGTTTCTATCATTTTTCAATTCCTTTTTTTACCAGTGTATTCTTCCTTCCTATATTGCTGGTTTATTCGACCATTTTGTTTGGATATTCTGAAGACGAATATGATTAACAATATTAACAGAGAAGGAATTGCATGCAAAACATAAAAAGAATCGCAGAATAAAAGAAGGGCGTGGTGAGTCGATAACTGCTGTTTTGATATTGAGACCTGACAGCCAATAAATGTATATTCGTTGCAGGAGATGAACAAATAAGTCTTCCCCACGCGATCAGTTATTTAACTAACCATGATGATAACCAGAAATTGTCATTTCTCTTGAAGAGCAGTTCTAAGGATCAGTGATTCACTTTTTCTAAATCAGATTCGATTGAGTGTAACAATGTTTTTGCGTTATATTGAAATGCTAGAATGTGTAATATTTTTGCAATCTCATCGGAATTAGATTCTCGTTAGCAAAACATGTTAAATAAAAAAGATGCCCAATGGATTTCTGAAAAACAGAATGAAAATAGATTGTTTGGCATTATAAAAGATATGGCAGGGCACAAGAGAATGAAAATGTCGGCAAAAAACGTGAGTAGCTAATTTGAACGATAGTGAGTGACTAGACGGAAAACGCATTCAGAAATCATTTTAGCTGAGGGAATAGCCAGAAAAACAAGAGAATTATGTATGTTTTTTTTTATATTCATAGGGAATAGACGAATACATATATACACATTTATGTTAGAGAGATGTGGAAAGAGAGAAAAACATTGATTATTTTTCTGAATTTTTAATCTATCCATATATATATATATATATATATATATATATATACAAGTGAGAGGGAGAGAGAGAATTAATATAAGTAAAACGTGTAAAAGGTTTGTCACTCAACTGATTAAATATTACATTCTGCATCCCGATTGCAGAGTTTCGTACCCTCGTCAGAGGGTATCAGCAATTGACTGCCTATACCTCTCAATTTTTTCTTTTTTTATATGCACATCATTGGTGCAAGCTTTTTTCATAGTGTGTGCGTGTATGTGCGTGTATGTGCGTGTGTGTGCGTGTGTGTGTTCGTGCGCATGCGCCCAAATGAGCTTTGTCTGAAAAGTAACGGGACTGGGGTCACAAAGAACTTATTTTAATTCCAAACAACAAACTACACGATTTCCCCTTTCAAAGTAACCCCCCCCTCGAGGCTAA